AGCTCCTGTTGCCCGTGTGTCTGCAGCTTCAGCCGCCGTCTCTCATCTTCTCTCCTCTCACAGTCCCTCCTCCTCCTCACTTGCCCGCTGTGATTACCTCTAGCTTTGCTTCTTATTGTGAACTCCTGCTATACCTGCTCATTGTGCTGATTAGACCCCACTTTGGCTATGGGGGTGTGTCAGAATGTTGTATTTGTCTAGCCTGCAGTGGGGTACTCTATAGCGAGTACAGCCCAATCTAGGGTTTCCTATATGTACTCAACTGCTTGCTAGTGAAACCCCTCCTTTCTTCATTCTTACTTTCTACTGCTGGTTCTGACAACACCATCACGTTCATCGACGCCGCCACTCGTTATGTCTGGCATCTCAACCTTCCAAGCCGCGACATGGCCTTCGAAGCCTTCGTAGCCTGGCTCCCAGTAGCAGAACGGGAATCGGGAGTTAAGCTGAAGAGTTTTCAGTCTGACGGGGGAGGTGAATACACCTCACAGAGGTTCAAGCAGTACTTGGCAGAGAGAGGAATCAAGCGGCTCATCTCCCTTCCCTATGCCCATCAACAGCAGGGTGTAGCAGAAAGAATGAACAGGACCCTTCAGAACACCATGCACAAGCTACTACGTGGCATGCGACTACCCAACCACCAGTGGCCCGAGGCAATGGACCACGCCGTGATGCTGCACAACTTGCTTTCGTCATCATCGCTCCCGAACAACGCATCACCGCATCTGCTGTGGACAGGAAAACTGGGCAGCACAAAAATGTTGCGAAATTTTGGCTGCATGGTACAGTACTGACCCCCAGCTGCACGCGCTGGCCGATTCTCCCAACGTGCACAATGGGGACTACACCTGGGCATTGAAAAGAATTACAACGCGTGGAAGATTTTCGACGTCCACTCAAAAGAAACAGTGGCAGCACGTGATGTCATTTTCTACGAGCGACTCACTCTTTCAACGTACCTGTACAACTTGGAGACATCACGAGATGTCACAGGCGGATTTCGTGGGGACCGAGCCTTCGCTTCGGCAAAAGATGAAGCTGACCTGGACGAGCAGACCATGGACGGAGCTTCGGAAGAAGCCGGACCGCTTCCCTACTGCTCGGTGGATGTTCCAATGGACGATGACAACCCTCGCGAAAGCATCAACGCCGAAGTCTTCTACGACTTCGCCGACAACGGTTACGTTACACCCGCCCGAGTCAACACCAACGAAGCCGAACGCATAGGACCCAACTTCTTACCTGATCTAGAAGAGGGTGACGAAGCAGCTTATCCCGAGGATACGACACTTCCCCGCTACACACAGAGCGGACTCCAGATACTTGGCCTCGTCACCGCAGTCCACGGCACGGAGATTCCTAAGGAGCCTGCCACCGTTCAGCAGGTTCTGGGGGGGGGGAGCATAGGGAAAAATGGCGCGAAGCCATGGACAAGGAACTGAAGGCACTGGAAGAACGGAACACCCGGAAAGTCGTTCCCATCGGCGTGGCACACAACAAAACGGTCTTCCGTGTAAAGACAAAGGCAGACGGCACCATCGACAAGTTTAAGGCGCGCTGGGTCGTGCGCGGTTTCGACCAAGAGCACGGACGTGACTTCACCGAGACGTTCGCCCCGGTCAGCCAACACACTTCACTTCGAATTTTCTCGCGATCGCCGCCATGAAGAAAAAGAAACTGCGGCAAATTGACGTCGCCAATGCATTTCTCTACGCACCTGTTGACGTCGAAATCTTTGTCGAACTTCCACACGGCTCCAACGGAGAGCCCAACCAAGTCTGTCAGCTGCTGAAGTCCCTGTACGACATCAAACAGGCTCCAAGACTGTGGCAGCAGTATCTGCACGCTCGACTCATTCGCATCGGATTCCAACAGTTACCACACGACCAGGGCATGTACCGGCTCACGAAAGGTGACGACTAGATTCTGCTCATCGTATACGTGGACGATCTACTCTACATCGGCTCGACTGACAGTGTCACTACTTGGTTCGAAGGGGAGCTGCAGCAGGACCTCACTCACACGGTTTCATCCACCGTCACGCAGTACCTCGGCCTCAACATTCAGGAAGAAGAGAACGCGATCTATCTCAGCACCGCGAAATACACCGACACCATCGCCAAACGCTTCGGACTCACTCCGACCGCTATCTCCACGCCATACCGCTACACCACCGGAAATCACAAGGAAGGCTCCGCTCCGCTCAAACCCGCAAGTCAACTCGCCACCTACCTCAAGAAACCTGAAGTGGAACACATGGCGGAACTCGACCGCGCTCTTCACTACCTCGTCAGCACCCCGACGATCGGCCTAACCTACTACAAGACTGGAACTACGGCGCCTAAGCTAATCGGCTACGTCGACGCTGATCACGCCGGTGACTCTGATAACAGGCGCTCACGCACAGGCTACATCTACCGACTTGAGCCTATCGGGCCTATCTCGTGGCAGTCGAGCAAGCAGGAATTAATCGCCCTCTCCTCAGCTGAAGCAGAATATATCGCACTCTGCTCAGCCACCAAGGAAGGACTGTACCTTCGCGAACTCCTGGAGGAAGCGAAGCTGGCCCAGTTACCCAGCTTCTCCCTGTTCTGCGACAACCAGTCTGCAATTCGCATAGCCAACAAAAATGGATTCGCGAACAGAACGAAACATATCGCTCTGCGATATTTCTTCGTGAAGGACGAGATCGAAAAGGGGAGACTCGAGCTGTCCTACTGCCCCACATCCGAGATGGCAGCTGATTACTTGACCAAGAAGCTCGGAAAGCAGAAGTTCGAGTACTGCATGCTGCTGACTGGACAGAGCCACGTCACCAGTAGCGACACTCCAGAAGCGAAGGGGAGTGTTGGAAACAAGTGATTTAAGCGCCTCTGTCGTGTCGAAACACTAAGTCGTAAACGAAGCGAAACACAGCGAAGCATCAGCGAGTCAACCCTCGGAGGTTGAACAACTGCTGGAGGTTACGCGAAAGTCAAAGGTCAGCGACCTTTGACCTGACAAGTACAGCGCGACAGCACGGACAAACAACTGACTCGTTACTGAGCAGTTGCCCGAGTCGTCACCGTATCGAACCGCAACAGCAAAAAGTAAAACAATTATTAGCTATAACCTTTCATATTCCCTTGTACTCTTATAAAAGCTTGTATCTCTTTGTTTTAATCAATCTACTTTGCCCTCACATACCAGCGCAAGGTGGTTCACAGACTTATCATTAAAACGCTTCCGCTATTACATCATTCCTACCAGAGTTTAGTCCTGCAGAGATCCTAAGGGCTTTTTCTCAGCCCAACAGTAGTTAGTAGATACGAGGTAGCTACTTTGTCGAGTCGCCCTGATGTTTTGGGATGGACGAAGCAGATCTGCTGTTAATCAAGACGCCCATGCTAGTAGCAGCCCCCTCTTCAGTCGGTGACGCGGCTCATAAACTCTGCATCGCGTCCGTCTGCCTTCGGTGGCGTCAGCTCGTGAAGCCTCACGTGACCACGCTGTTCGTGAAAGGAGACAATCCGGGGTCTCGCGAAGATCTCTCAGCCGCCGTCGCGTGCTTCCCCAAACTCACTCATCTGCATCTCAGCGACAACAGCGCCGAGTCGCTTGACGACGCCTTCCTCGCTCACCTCGCTTCATCGTGCCCGAAACTAACGGCTCTTCACGTGGGAACAAGACTTGCACCGGGATTGCGCATTGACCGTGACGGCCTGGTAAAGCATCATCTCAGAAAGGAGCACCGCATGACAACGGAGGGCTTGGATTCGTTATTTCAGACGCTTCCTGAATTGGAGCTGGTTACCCTCTTTTGCCAAAAAAACAGAATTACCGAATTCCTTCTTTCAGTTGAGGCGACTGCACACCTTTTTTCTAACCGACGCTTCAGCCATGCAGGAACCCGGTTTCACCAACCTCACTGCCCTTACCACATCCCAAAACTGTTTGACCCTCATACTATGTACCTATAGGTTTTTCTACATTGCAGATACAGAGGTATATAGAGTAAATAGAATGTAGAAAAACCTATACCTACATAGTACGAGTCCCTCAATGTTTTGGGATGCACCCTGCACATCACATTCCCCATGAACCATCGGCACCTCTCCACCCTCCTTCACCTCCCACGGCTCACCCATCTCTTCACCTACGCCCTTCACCAAAGCCATCAGCCGGCAGGTGCTGGAAACGTGACTCTGCCGTCCTGCCTAAAATCGCCCAGCTTTTTTTCATCCTGTTCTGGTTTCAATACCATCTTCCCATCAGCATGGCTGTTCACTGCGCTAGAGGAACTGCTCATCACCAACTGCAGTGAGCTGGAGACCCTTCATGGCGACATTGGAGACGTTCTGCCGTGCCTTCGCAAGCTGATCATTCGCCAGTGCAAAACATCCGTTCACCTACCTGAAAGCTTCACCTTGCTGAACCATTTGGAAACACTCGTCATCTCTAGTGTGGTTACATTTACCTTACCCAGCAACTTTGGCCACATGTCTGCCCACAAACTGCTGGTGCTGGAGAAATTGCATTTCACCAAACTCCCTCCTTCCTTTCGCCATCTCACTTCTCCTGAAACGCTTTTCCTAGTTGATTGTTTCAACCTTCAGCAGCTGCCAGTAGGGTTCTGCCGCCTCACCGCTCTCAAGGCACTCTGCTTCTCTGAAACGTATAGTCTTGCGTTGCCCGAGGACGTTGGGGCCCTTGCAAGTGTGGAGGCTCTCAGGTTGCATGCCTGCCAGGATCAGCCCTTTCCAGCTTCCTTCACCCAGCTGTCTTCCCTCACGAGCCTTGAGCTGAATGCGTGCCGCTTAGGCTCTCCAGTCGCCCTCCCGGAAGCCCTAGGAGAGCTGAGCAGCCTACAAGAGCTGAGGATTATTGAGCTTTCAGTTGCCACGCTTCCTAGCTCACTGATACAGCTTACGAGACTTCAGACCTTAGAGGTTAGGGGCTGCAGGTTACTTGAAGAAGTACCCTCGAGGCTGGATACGCTCGTGGGGCTCAAGAGGCTCGAAATGACGGCATGTCCGAGGCTGACTGACCCGCCTGCTGGTTTGCCACCCTCTCTTGAGACCCTCTGTTTGGGGCCCTTCTGGGGAGCCTCTTTCCATGTGGTGGACATCTCCCAGCTGTCGCACCTGAGGGTGCTGAAGCTGAACCGCGTTGGGGTGATGTGTGGGCCTGCAATCAGCAGCAGGTTGTCGTGTCTGGAGCAGCTGGAGCAGCTGGAGATGAGTTTGGGAGGAGACAGTTGCGAGCTCCCAGTCCCCATGACTTCGATTTCTCTCTATCACCTGCGCAACTTGCTGATAGATGTGCTGGGACTTTGCAGCCTCCCGGAAACCATGGCGGCAGCGTTGCCAGAGCTGCGGCAGCTGGAGCTTCGTTCCTGGATACCAAAGGAGCTGCCGGGAGGCATACCGGAGCTCACCTCGCTGACGTCATTGACGATCAACGCACCTCGGCTGACGGCGCTACCTCAGGGCATGAGCCGCTTGTCTCGGCTGCGCAAACTGGAGTTGATTCGCTGCAACGCCTTGCAGCACCTCCCGGAGTGTCTCACCCAGCTGCACCAGCTGATACTGCGTGACACCTCCATCCCCTCCCTTCCTGCGAATTTCGTGCAGCTGATCGTACCGAGGCTTGAGGATGATTGACTTGACTGGTTGCCTACAGACGCTCTTAGAGGACTTGACTCCGCGCTGTAGTGCCTCGGAGGTTGCTTTCAATGTCTCAGCGCTGGCTGATGCCTCATAGGGAAGGTGCCTTTGAAGGCAGGTCCACACCAGTGGTGCGAGGGTAGATGAAGGAAATGCGTGGACTGTTTAGTTCTTAGAATTGTATTGTGTTCTCTGACATGTCTTTTCTGTCTTTTCTTGTGCCCCTGCTTGTTGCTTTGATCTGTTAAAAAGTGTCTCCTTTCTGTTGTATGCATGCAGTGTGCATAGTCAATCCAATTGAAGTGGTTGAAAACAAAACTACTTCAGGCTACGTTGTCAAGCCTGGGCTTGTTAGCACCAATAGACCAACTTAATAAGTCAACATGCTGACAAATAGGCAAGCGGGCGGGAGCAGCCGTGAATGCTGCCAAGAGGACAACTGACCGATGTGGCAGTTATGTTTCATAGAGTTTATGAGCTGACAAATATACATATTTTCACCTCGTCACGGACTCTTTACATGTTGACTTACGGTAGTCAACTGCTGGATGAAAGATTTATGATCAGTGACTTGCAGGTTCCCCCATGCCAGAATGGCTGTGAGAGTGGCTTGGATCAGGCGGACTTGGCCCTTGCAGAATGGGTGCACCGCTCACCAAGGCACTATCCCCTTCCTTCCCCATACCCTCTTCCCCCCCAACCCTCTCATCCCCCCCCCCTCCCCCCCACCCCCCACCACCCCCGCTTCCCCCCCACCACTTCCGCACGTGCTCCTCCCATGTCCCGGATCCTGACTCCACGGTCGCGCCGCACTGCTCTCACCCAGGTACTGTCCCGTCCTCTCTGCCCTTCCCCTTCCCCCTTCATCCTCCCCCCATCTTCCCACCCGCTCTGCTCCGCACCAGCTTCTCCTGCACCGGTTTCTTCTGGCCCATGAGTCCCCGCCCTGCCCCTGCAGCACGGGCACACTGTTCACGGGGAACCTGCGGGCTGCTGAGCTGAGGCTGGAACTGTTCCCAAGTCCTAGATTGTCGTCACGGAGAACCTGCGCGCTGTTTAACTTGTGGGTTTCTAAGTGCACTCCTTGCCATGGCTGCAGCGCACCTTCCCTTGAAAAACCCATTACCCTCTTCCCTTTCCCCTCCGCCCCACCCCTCGTACCACCATCTCCGTTTCCCACCCCAACGTATCTCCCACACCGACTTTTGCCCCTCGGAGTCCTGCCCCTACAGCACCGTCTCCCACATACCTCTTATAAGGCACAGTGCTGTTTACCCGTCCGCACTCTCTGCGTCCCTTCCTCTCCCCTCCCCCACCCCTCCAGATCCGCACCTGCGTCTCCAACCCCTGCTTCACCGTCTCCTGTCCGTTGCATGCTGGGTGTGTCGTGGCCATATCTCTCTTGAAAGACAAACAGCGGGAGAAGGAGGTGCGGGATGAAAAGTCCGTGGGCAAGTTATGGTTCACCTGGTCAGTAGCAGGCAAAGCTGGGCGGGGCTGGGCATTGTGCCCCGTGGGCTGTTTCTGAGTGCGGAGGAGCAGAGGAAGAAGGAGGTGCGTTCTGAACGAGTGAGGGGTAGAGGTCTGCTTGATGATGCTGAGTCACTGGAGGCCTGTTGGGTGCCCCGTGGCAGTATTCTTCCTCAAGGTCCAGTGGCAGGTGATTCTTGGGTCAGTCTCAGGTCAGTCTCAGGTTAGTCTCAGGTCACTTTTAGGTCACTTAAACCTGAGCCTGCCTAGGTCGAACCGGGTGGGCCAGACAGTGAGTCGGGCTGCTGGATTGCAACTTGACCTGAACGTGTTTGGGACCCAGCCAGCCATTGGTCGATGTGGTTCAGCCCAAACTGTTAGGAAAGAAGCAGAACAAGCCAATCAAAATCAAGAAGTCCAATACTAGTAAGCTCAAGCTGCTGCTCCTGATTGCGCTCCAGTTTCACAGTTCTAGCCCTAAAAAAGGGCCTGCACTGCTCCGGTCTTGTGGGTGCCCGTTAGGATTATGCTGGGCATCGATGATCGATGGCTCACATCGGGCCATGCTGCTGCAATATTCAACCTAGGTTATTACCATGGCTCGGGCCGGCTCAGTTGGACCGAGTCAAACTTGGGCTGGTATTGGCTGACAGCGGGGTCCTTCTTTGGCCAGGAATGAGTGTGGGTCTGTCAAATTTTGCACGCCTACTTTTGGGTACTTACACCCCCCTCCAAAGCATGCCCGTGCGCCTAAACCAGTGTTGATGGTGCGGAGATAACTCTATCAACGGGAGCTAGACTACGGGCTAGGCACGGGGTACGAGGGATCTCTGCGTTCGTTCCTTAGTCGTTTGTTTGTGCTTGCACTACTTGCTGGTTCACAGGGGAAGTTGGCAAGAGTTTCACTAGCAAAAAGTTCACAACAATGATAGCAACAACATTGGCATGCAAGACTACATCAGACCTAGCAAAGCTGCTGGTCGACTTCCTGTGCAGCACAGTCGACCGCGTGCCAGCACGACTTGGTCGACCGTGCTCCAGCAGAGCAAAGTCGCGGCTTGCCAATATTGCAAGTCCACGGTGTGCCAACGCTGCAGCAAGTCGGCTGCACAGCGTTGCACTCGCAGGACAACGATGCACCTGCTTCGCAGGTGCGTGCAGCTGGTTGGTGCACATTTCCTTGTCATGTGCACAGCGCAGACGCCCAGCTCGACTCCATGCCAGCGACTGCGCCCACCAGCCACGTCGACCTCGGGATACCACCACCGAGGTCGGTCTCGCCACTACCACCTGGGCGACCATCGCACTCCTCCGCAGAACCTCGTCACCCAGGTAACCTGGTCGACCGGGCAACCACCACGTCGACCAGTTGCTTCCTTGTGTGCCCGTCGACCTCCCAAGTCGACGACCACCTTCAGTCGACCATACCAGGTCGACCACACCCTTGGTCGACCAGCTCCAGGTCGACACCCACCTGGTCGACCAACTCCAGGTCGACCAGCACACCTGGCAGCCGACCACACCAAGTCGGCTTCCCCTGGTCGACGTCACCCAAGTCGACGCCCTCTACTGGTCGACCTCCCAAGTCGACCAGCCACTACTGGTCGACTTACCAAGTCGACCAGCCTCTACTGGTCGACTTCCCAAGTCGACCAGCCGAAGTTGACGCCCTCCCAAAGTCGGCGCCCTTGCAGTGGCCCCAGTGCAGGTCGACCAGACCCGTCGACCAGCTCCCCCACTGTTGCAGGTCGGCTGCACTCCTCACACCCGACCACGAAGTCGGCTCCGCCCAAGAGAGAACGGGGCCAACAACAACTCCCGTTGACAGATGGCATGGCCACGGTGGGTGGGCGAGAGGGTGAAGCGGCACAAAGAGCTGAACACACCCTTCTGGATGGTCTGAAGGTGTTGTACTACCCACCCCTCAGTCTTAGCTGCGTCTCCTTCCGCCTTCCTTGCTTCATCCCTACCACCACCAACAACAACCCCTGCCGGCCCTCACCATCCCCACTACACCAGGAACCGATAGTGGAGTGGTACACAGCATGAGACGAGCCCCCAGCTCCTGCACTCCACTCCGCCTGCACTCCTGCTCCTCTGCTACCCCTCCATTTTTCCACATCGGCCCTCCAGCACGCCATGGCTTTCAGGTGCGTCTCATCTCACCTGCTCTCTTCCCCAAGTTTCAGCTGGACGGGGAGAGGTCTGGGTGGAAATGGGTGTGGGTAAGGCAGGAGGTGGCGGAGAGGGGCGAGGTGGTGGCATCATGGACTTGCAGAGAGTGAAACGGGGAGCTCAGGACCTGCATTCATGTACGGGGTACGCACACATGATGCATGCATCCGCACTTATAGTAGTGATAAGACTGATGCTCTTTAGGTGGCCCTGACTTTACCTCTACAGATGAGTACTACTACCAGGTTGGTGAGTGTTCTTTGATTGATGTGTGCGTGGAGTAGCATGTCCCATGGGTCCCATGTGCAGAGAAGTGAATTGACTTTGTTGCCTTGTGTTTCTTATCCCTCCTCCCCCCCCTCCTCCCGCCCGTCCTTCCTCTGATTCCCGCTCTTTCCCATGCCTGCCTCCATTGTTTTTCCTTGGTTTCTTACCTGTTCCCCTCCTCTCTCATCCCTCCTGTGACCTGTCCTTCTCATCTCACTCACACTCAGCTAATGTGCATCGGTGCATCATGTGCTCATGCATGCCTGCCTTGCTGCCTTGCTTTCATATCCTCCCCCTCCCCCACCCCCACCCCTTCCCCCCCTCTTCCCCCACTCCGCGTCCTTCCTTCCCACCCTCTCCCCTCTGAAAACAGCTCACGTGCATTGGTCGTGACAGTGGTTTCGTGGGCATGTGGCATGGGTGGCATGGCCTTATGGAGGCATCGAGGCAGGAAGAGCAGGTGAGGCAAGCCAAGGTGGCAGCAGAGGTGGCAAGCGACGCCAGGAGCATCTTCATGGCGAGGATGAGCCACGAGACTTGCACCCACTTGAATGGTGAATGGGGTGGGTGGATGGGTGGGTGCTACTATGGTGTGTGTGCGGCGTGCCCCTTCCCCTCCCCTTCCCCTCCCCTCCTCTTCCCCTCCCCTTCCCCTCCCCTTCCCCTCCCCCTCCCCTCCGTTCAATTGAATCAGCTCCCTTCCAAGTTTGAAAGCCAGTGTCCATCTGCCTCGCCACGTGCATCAAGAAAGTAATTTCTCTGCTCCCCCTTGCTGCAGCAGAGAGGGCCTTCAGGTGAATGCGCATGGGGGTGACTGTTGTGGGGTTATGGGGCCTTGTTGAGCGTAATGGTTGGCAAGATGAGATGTGCTGCATCTGTTGTTTCAACTCGTGAAAACTGAGAAAATGTGGACAGGTGATGCTGGCTAGCGATCTGCAGCAGCAAGGACAGCAACAGCAGCTGCAACAGCAGCCTTGCAGGATTTGCTGTCATTGCCTCGCTTTTCTCGGGCCAGAGATACCATGCGTGACAGGGGTGCCTCGCGTTTCAAGTGGACATTGTACAATCAGCAAGGTCAGCAAGGTCGGCAATCTGGATTGATTCAGCATAGACACCACAGTTTCAAACACCTCGTCGCACACTTCCCATGCCTTGTTGGCTCATCGCATACCACACAACTTCGGACTGTCATTTCTATCATTTTCGCTTTCCTCAGTCCCTTCCCTCTCGTGTGTGCCGCTCACACATGCGGTCCATTCACTCACTCGCAGCATAACCTTCTCAAGCTCAGAGGGATACGAATTCGGGCCATACAGCAGCAGAAGCCAAGTCATGAGTAACCAGCCATGGGGGTGCATTGCGTGGGTGGAGTGCGGATGTGGTAAGGTCGCAGAATTGGGATTTTGTTGCTTTCCAGTATGCTGGATCTGAATGCATGGCTGCCCCCCGCCAATCTTGCCCTGCATCACGGAGAGCTGTGGCGACACACAGGTGGCAACGCATAGTGAGAACAAGATCAATGTGATCTGAGATCGTACGGTACATCTTCTACTCGCCTCCTGTGTGCTAGTCAGAAAAAGGGCCGTATGGATTGGTGATGCAGCAGTTCGTGTGACGACGTCTACCCTTTCCCATGCAGGCGAAGGCCCACTTCTGCTTCACCTCTTCCCTCCACCCCATGGATCATGTCCTGCTGCCTAGCTTAGGCGACAAGATGCATCTAGCAAGCTATGGCTCATGCATGCATGGCTAGTATGGTTTGATGCAAGTCAAATGTAGAGAAACTTCTCATATAAAGAAAACATTGGAGAATCATGGATTGGACAAAAGACTCAGGTGGGCATAATCTACGCTTGCACCCAACGTCAGACCAGCAAGACTACCGTAAATCAATCATCTGTCCATGCATCCGTGTCAGCAATGTTTGATGGGTGATATTACAGCAGTACCAAATGAACATGCATGATCATGCAGATTTTATTGAGGTGTCGATGTTACCAAAGCAATACCTTCCATTTCAAGCCCCACCATATACCGTACTGGTACGCTATACCCTCTCCTCTGTAAAGGGATTTGCACACCCTGGACCCAAGCAGCCAGGCCCCTCGTGCCGTCATGCGAGCCACTCCTCACCCCCTAATTTCACCCTTGATCTCAACCCTCACCCGACGCTGCTGCTGCTGCCACTACAACCGCCGCCGCTGCCGCTGCTGCTGCCTGCTGCTGCTGCCACTGCTGCTTCGCCCACCATGCTCGACTGTTACTCGACTCTTACTCTGCTGTCTTGTTCGCCCTTGTCCCCAGCTTACCTAGCTCGCCTCCCCCCTCCCCTTCCCCTTCCGCCCTGCTGATGGCCGCTTCCCCCTGCTGATGGCCGCTTCCCCCTGCTGATGGCCGCTTCCCCCTGCTGATGGCCGCTTCCCCCTGCTGATGGCCGCTTCCCCCTGCTGATGGCCGCTTCCCCCTGCTGATGGCCGCTTCCCCCTGCTGAAGGCCGCTTCCCCCTGCTGATGGCCGCTTCCCCCTGCTGATGGCCGCTTCCCCCTGCTGATGGCCGCTTCCCCCTGCTGATGGCCGCTTCCCCCTGCTGATGGCCGCTTCCCCCTGCTGATGGCCGCTTCCCCCTGCTGATGGCCGCTTCCCCCTGCTGATGGCCGCTTCCCCCTGCTGATGGCCGCTTCCCCCTGCTGATGGCCGCTTCCCCCTGCTGAAGGCCGCTTCCCCCTGCTGATGGCCGCTTCCCCCTGCTGATGGCCGCTTCCCCCTGCTGATGGCCGCTTCCCCCTGCTGATGGCCGCTTCCCCCTGCTGATGGCCGCCTCCCCCTGCTGATGGCCGCTTCCCCCTGCTGATGGCCGCTTCCCCCTGCTGATGGCCGCTTCCCCCTGCTGATGGCCGCTTCCCCCTGCTGATGGCCGCTTCCCCCTGCTGATGGCCGCTTCCCCCTGCTGATGGCCGCTTCCCCCTGCTGAAGGCCGCTTCCCCCTGCTGATGGCTGCTTCTCCCTCCATCATAAAGAAATGTGAGGCAGGCGATTCTTATGCAACATCCCCTCATGCACAAAGAGGTCTCTTGCCCAACCAGCCAACTGAAAGGCACCAGTTCAACACGCCCAGTCTCCAACTCTCTGCAGCATGCAAGTGGAGCCATGCACAACCACCATTCCATGCCTCACGCCTCCACATGCATGCCTCCCCTCATTCTTCACAGCCGTTGCCTCAGTCTTCCCTACCAAAGCACACTCACGTACCCCCTCACCTCACCTCCCTTTCCATCATCTGCCTCTGCCACCCTACCTGCCTAGCCACCTCACGTTTCTGTTTTACGGCGCGTGTGAGGTGACCCGTCAAACAGAAACGGGGTACTTGTTGTGCTGCCATGAGTCGCTGGAGGTGATGGATGAACACGGAGTGAATGGCAAGGAATGGCCATTTTGAAAATAAGAAACAGCACGTGCCTTGTAAATCCTAGCACGCCCTGTGAAACCAAGCTTGATTTGTCAAACCAAGCATGCCCTGTCAAACCAAGCATCCCCTGTCAGACCAAGCACTCCCTGTTAAACAATTCACTCAGCACTCACCTCCAGATGGCCTTCACTCTTCCTAATTTCCACCTCAACATTCGTCTTCCGATCTTGTATCTTGTGCCATTCCTTAGAGGCTGCCAATTCCTCCATGGCATGTGGGCAATTCAACTCCTGCACCTCTTTCCTCTCCCTCTCCTCCCGTGCACACTCCGATGTCACGTCTTTCCTTCTCTTCCTACTCTTCCCTCTCAGCCCTGTTCCAACCGACGCCCTACTACTCTCAGCCCATTGTTCTGCCATAGTGCCTTTGTGTGCCACCAACTCCCCCTTCACCACTGACAACTCCCCCTTCACCACTGACAACTCCCCCTTCACCACTGACAACTCCCCCTTCACCGCTGTCAACATGTGTCGCAGCTCATCCACCTCCTCCTTGTGTGCAGCCAGCTCCTCTCTCACTGCTGCCAGCACCGCCTCTTTGATCAACTCATTCACTGCACCAATCGCTCTCTCAGCAGCCATATCATCCACCCACTCCCCTACGACCCTTGTTGAGTGACTGCAAACTGCGAATGCAGACAAGCATGGGCAGGGCAGGGTCGAGTATCTTGTGAGAAAAGAGGGACGTAAAAAGAAAAGAGGGACGTAAAAAGAAAAGAGGGACGTAAAAAGAAAAGAGGGACGTAAAAAGAAAAGAGGAACGTAAAAAGAAAAGAGGGACGTAAAAAGAAAAGAGGGACGTAAAAAGAAAAGAGGGACGTAAAAAGAAAAGAGGGACGTAAAAGAAAAGAGGGACGTAAAAAGAAAAGAGGGACGTAAAAAGAAAAGAGGGACGTAAAAAGAAAAGAGGGACGTAAAAAGAAAAGAGGGACGTAAAAAGAAAAGAGGGACGTAAAAAGAAAAGAGGGACGTAAAAAGAAAAGAGGGACGTAAAAAGAAAAGAGGGACGTAAAAAGAAAAGAGGGACGTAAAAAGAAAAGAGGGACGTAAAAAGAAAAGAGGGACGTAAAAAGAAAAGAGGGACGTAAAAAGAAAAGAGGGACGTAAAAAGAAAAGAGGGACGTAAAAAGAAAAGAGGGACGTAAAAAGAAAAGAGGGACGTAAAAAGAAAAGAGGGACGTAAAAAGAAAAGAGGGACGTAAAAAGAAAAGAGGGACGTAAAAAGAAAAGAGGGACGTAAAAAGAAAAGAGGGACGTAAAAAGAAAAGAGGGACGTAAAAAGAAAAGAGGGACGTAAAAAGAAAAGAGGGACGTAAAAAGAAAAGAGGGACGTAAAAAGAAAAGAGGGACGTAAAAGAAAAGAGGGACGTAAAAAGAAAAGAGGGACGTAAAAAGAAAAGAGGGACGTAAAAAGAAAAGAGGGACGTAAAAAGAAAAGAGGGACGTAAAAAGAAAAGAGGGACGTAAAAAGAAAAGAGGGACGTAAAAAGAAAAGAGGGACGTAAAAAGAAAAGAGGGAGAAGCAGCATGGTCAGTGCACACACGAACAAGACCATTCACATGGGCGTGAGGGATGAGGAAATGATGGGAATAAGAGGGCAGATAAGGAGCAACATAAGAGAGAATCTGATGATAAGGTGTGGGAGAATGGATTGAGCGAATGTCTGGATGAAGCAGTAAGAGGAAAAGATGCACTTGGCATGAAGTCAGACGGCATTACAACGGACTAGGGCAGACCAGGAGGAGAAAGTGAAGACAAAATGTCAGGGGGTGCAAGAAATGCCAGTAGGGACTATTGAAAAGGGACACTGCAAATACTGCAGCAAGGTGCAAATGAATGCACAGGGTGAAGGTGGAGAGCTGCAGGGAGTTCATTGGGAGGTGATGTAAAAAAGGTTCACTACGACTGGCAAGGCATGAAGGCCCAGCACAGCAGGAGGAGAAAGCATAGGCCAGCAAAGATTTGACGAAAGAGCGAACGAACGGAAGCACAGCAACCGACAAACTACAAGAAGGATCAGAGAAGTCGGAGAATGGAAACCACGACCACGTTAGAGAGGCACACAGAGGGCTGGTGCAAAGAGGGCTGGTGCACAGAGGGCTGGTGCACAGAGGGCTGGTGCACAGAGGGCTGGTGCACAGGTAAGGTAGAGTGAGTCAGTTAAAAGAAGTGGGCTGAATGAGCAGAGCAGTAACAAGTTACTACAACAGTGGTGAGATAAAAGTAGCTTTAGGAAAGAAAGTTGTAGGTCAAGAGGAAGGAAGAGGAGAGATTAGAAAATCATAGACAGACAGATGGGTTACCTGCTCGTAAGTCTTTCGAAACAAAAGTGCACTTCGTTGTGATATTGACACTCCCACCACACCTTGACATCAATACAAGTAGGTAAGGTAAGGGTTGCAAAACGTGGCAGCAGAATCAACAGGAACAAGGCAGATAGGATGAGTTTCTGGAGGAGGAAGGGAGCAAGATAAGATGCTGCAAGAGGGCGCGGAGCAGCAATGGCATGAAGTATGTATGCAGTAGTGGTTGTGGCCCTGCCAGCTCTTCCCGGTACTACAGTCAGGCAAGCGAGGGTAACCGAAGCAAGCACACGAGGAGATAATCAGGCACAGGGCAAGGAGAACAGAAATGGTATCAAATGGCCGAGTTGTGGCTCGGCCGTTTGAACCGCCTCTTTTCCCGTTTCTTCGAGTCGAGAGGGAAACGTTATGAAGTCGGCTCACAACGTGGCTCGAAAGGCAACGCATCTCGGGTGCGGCGAGGGCACGGCGCATACATATGGCTGGGCTAAACCCATCTCAGCGAGCCCCCACATCTCGAACCAGCCACAGGTGGGTTTAGCCCATCTCAGCGAGCTGGTTGGTTCGAGATGACGGGGCTGGTCGGAATCCCGTGCAACTTATCTTGGGTAAAAGGCAGTTCTCTATTACACAATTTATCAAAGTTTAGCTCATGCTTTCAAGGGCTATTCTTTCTCATACTTTCTCTGCTGGTCAGAGCGGCGAGCGTGAGATATGCCAACCCCGCCAAATTGGTGGACTACACCCGGGGGAGGTTGACCTGGGGAGGTCGAGAGATCAAGCCAGGGTGGCTCGGAAGGCGCAGGGCTCGTGGCGAGCCCATCTGCTTGAAGTGACGGGCCGGCACGGCTCGCATAAACCTTGGTCGCTCACATGCTAGGTTGGCCTAGGTCAAAAACACGGTAGATCAATCACAAGCCTGTGCAGTCACAACTTAGAGCAGTTGCAAGAAAGGGTAAGAAAATAGGTCGACCAGAGGTTCTGGTCACGCGCCGGTTTACAGGAAAGGTGACTCACAAACTAGGTCTGTCACAAGATAGGTCAGTGGGGGGCTACGCCAGTAACACGCAAGATCACTCAGAGGCAAAGTCCGTCTATCAGAGGCTAGCCCCCCCACAAGGTATGTCAGTCACGGACTATGTTAGTGAGAGGCTAGGTTGGTGACACGCTAGGTAAGCCAGGTAGGTCAGTCACAAATTGGTCATTCATAGGCTACGACAGTCACAAGGTAGGTCAGTCAGCGGCTGGGTGAAACAAAGGCTAGGAACTAGCTCACTCGCATTCAAGGTAAAAGAAAAAGGCAGGTGAGACACATGTTGGGTCAGTCAGTCAGAGGGGTTCCGTGAATCAGAGGCTAGGACAGTCACAGGCTAGGTCAGCCACAGACTAAGACACTGACAGGCTAGGTCAAGCACAAGGTACCCCTGACACAAGTAAGGTCAGTCATAGGCTATGATAGCCACAGGAGGGTCACTTACAGCTAAGACGGTCACAAGCAGGGTTAGTCATAGGCTGGGTGGGTCACTCCCAACACAACAGCCCAGGTGGGTCCGCCACAGGCCAGGTGAACCACACGATAGTTTAGATACGACGAGCAGCGAGTCGAGTTTTGGCTCGACTCGGCCGACTCGACTCGACTTTTTCTCATGTCGAGTCAAGTCGGCTCGGCCTAACGGGCAATGCATCGCCCGACTTGACTGGATATTTGTCGGGTCGGCACTTGCCGAGTTGGTCATTCGAAACAGCACACCTGACTCATATCTAGCCAACTAGGTTGTACCACCATTTCCCGCTCTTACCTGGGTTCAGGCAACCTTTCGCTCAGAATCTGGATCCCGCAATTTCGAGATCCAATCTCGACCTTATTTCGTTATTTCCTTATAGCCAATATGTTCGACTTGAATCGTCTTCCATAACGCCAGGCTACCCGCTTGCTTATTCGCTAGGTCGTTCGTACCTTAGCACCTAGCAATCAGCATTAGGTCGTTCATACCTCGACTCGCGAGTTGACTCGGATCAGTCAGAGCCGAGTCGACTCAGAGTCCACTCGAGTCGCCCTGTGCACATGTCTATGTCAGTCACAGGCTAGGTGAGACAAGTTCTGTCAGTAACGGCAAGATCAGTCACAGGCTGGTTCAGTCACCGCATTAGTCATAAGCTGAGGTGGGTCACAGGGTAGGTCGGCCAGAGCCTGGATAAGTGACAGCGGTGAGTGTATCAACGATGGCGAGGAAAGGCAGCACGGGAAGGGCCGGGACAACGATGCTAAGAGGGACAAGAATGCGACAAGGAGCTCTGCTAGTTCATGGCGGAGTGCAGAATTCGTAGCGACTCGGGATGTAACCTAAAGTTGCACATTGGCACCCTCTGATAGAATTACGAGCACCACAATCCGTAGGCTGTGAACCTCAGGCTTGCAATGCGGAGAACCGACCGGGGAAACGAAAGCGGGGCTTACCTCTAGGGTTTCTTAGACTATCGCGTTTCTGCGACTCTCGAATTGAATCAGCAGCGGCGCGGTGATTCGATCTCTAGTGCTAGCTGCGTGATGGCGAGGCTGGTGATTTCGAGAGTGGTGTGAGGGAAGGAGCAAAAAGACGGGCGGGCCAGGAAAAGTGACGTGAGGACACGATGCGCGGAAGACTGTACGGATGGCTACAGAGAAATCGGCGTCGCCGTTCGTACTGATTTCGTAGAGGCGACTCGGGTCACCTTTTCTCACGGTGGGAAGTTGCGCTCAACAATGATGTGATTGACACAAGCTGGTTGACGCATGCTTGGAGTGGGAACGAAACAGGAGGAAGGGAGGTCAATTTTCACCCAGCACTCAAATCTCGAGTTCGACACATGGGTTGCCTTCCAGATTGCAGCCGATTGCGTATCTTGACAGTTACCACTGCAAATACACATTTGTTCGCAGTCGCCGCCAAACAAACCGTCCCGAGGAACCCTAAGTGTGTCGTTCTCTGTTCGCCCGAGCAAGTGCCTTGAATGGTACGAATTTGTCGCCTCCAGTTTCGATGGCACTGCTCTTGCCTCACCTGTTACACACTTGACATTGCGTTCGCAAATCAAAAAGCTCAAATTTTTCCTCAAATGACGAAATCTTCACTGCATCAACGAGGTTATGGTGAGGAGGCACACGAGTCAGGTGAGGATGGTAACCCAGCTTCAACGAGGGGAACTACGCAAGCGGAATTTCTGTGGATACCAGGCTGCTTTTGCAGTGTCAAGCACGACACGACGCGACGCTCCATACTCACCGCAGGATCCTAGTC